CTTATAAAAATGCCAAATTTCAAGAAATAGTAGTTTATTGAAAACTAAATTGGTGACACCCTCTATGTTTTATTATCCATTTTTATATGGTTTTTCCTTTTTGGCATAGAAAATAAGAAGTCACACATTCATTACCGAACAAATTGGTAACACCCTCTACATTGCCTACACGCAAACAGGTCAGCTACATCCTTGGCTCTTCACAAATGAACTTTTACTATTTTTTTCACCTATAGTTTAACTAATATTTTTGTCATTTTTTGGCAGCTTACCTAATCCCATATATCACAGTTCCTCATACAACCCTCAGCATGGATAACACCAACTACACACCCTTCAACATGAATACAATATATGATTCATTACCTAACTATGACAACACCCAATATAACAACCTTGACTACATCTCACAAACTGAAAATTACCACACATATTACTCCAACACACATCTCCTGCATAACCAACTAGCCACTTATATACCTCCAACCAATTATAATGATTACTCAAATATGCCTACAACATCCTACTCAAACCCATACCATTATTATAATTCCGAAGCCTACTACACTTCGCCCAACATTACTATCCATACATTTGAAAGCAATAATGACTACCTATTACCCCAAATTTACTCATCACATGAACAATTCACTACAACATCTACCCACATCACTGAATAACCACAACTCATATATTGGCAACCACCAAAAGAATGATGGCTCAAATTAAATTTTGATGGTGGAACCTACCCTAACAAAGAAGTTCTACAAGAAGTTGATGCTATTCGCGCAGGAATATTTCGAAACTACGAAAGAATTTGCATTTATGCTTTCGCAGACATAATACCAATGAAATCTGCAGAATATGCTGAAGCATCAGCTTTATATCGGGGATTACAAATTGCAGCAGAAAATGAATGGCCAAAGATATGGGCAGAAGGTGATGCAAAATTCTTAATCGAAATAATTCTTCACAACACACAAAGATTATGACAGCACGACATGGAAACTCATAGGTAACATCCGAAGAAGAAGACAAAATTTTGAAGATTGCAAAATCAACTTCATTCGTAGAGAAGGCAACTCTGCAGCAGACACATTGTGCAACCACATCAAGGGAAAATATGGCAACTTCAAATACGATGACAAAATTTTACCACACAAAATTAAAAATATTGTACAGCAAGAAAGACAAGGATATATTTATACACATTGTACATAATCACTCTAACACATAGTACATCTTCTTCTTCTTACCTTTTGTAAACGAATCCCCACTGTACATATCCAATATAATGTATGAATTATGTGAAGACAATGTTAGTTAACAATTAAACAATAACTTATATAGCTTTTTTGGGTCTAAGATTGCATGTTTTTCATTTGTTTATTTCATAGTGTTTTTGTTGTGATTTATATATGGGTTATAAATTTATAGCAATTGAATATGCTTGTGTTTATAAATATATTTATATGAGAAATTATAAGCATGTTTTGTTTCTCTCTCAAAATATGTTTTGGGAGAAAAAACAAATTCAACATGTTTAGTTGAAAATTTTAGGGAAAAAAAATTCAAAATCACTTTTCTCTCTACTACACATCAATCAATTATTTTTTTTTTCATACCCATCTATTCAACTATAAAAAAATATCAAATCATTCAAAATTCCAAAACGCCAAAACTATTTTCAAAATATATAACCAAACAAATTTTCATATTTTCTAAACTCTCTGAAAAAAATTATTTTGCAAATAATATCTTCTTTGAAACTTAGCCACCTGTGTTGAGGATACATGTTGGCTCAGCCAACCAGAAGCCACCATGTTTTTTCACTAAAGTTATCATTGTTCGGTACACATCTGTCTAGATAGTTGGCTTTTAATTGATATATTTTGTATTAAAAAAAAATTATTGAAAATTTTGAAATTAATTTGATAAAAATAAATATCAAAAAAAATATTTTAAAAAAATGAATTTTGACCTCCCAAAAGATAAAATTATATAAAAGTGATAAATATTTTTAATTTTTTTATTTATTTCACCAAATTAATTTTTAGTTAAAAAAATTGAAACAAGCTTTTAAAAATCAAATCAAACATGGGCAAAGTGAATATGCATGGGCTGGATTTATTTGATTCTAAGGTTTTTTTGAGTGGTTAACACAATAAAGAAATTAGTAATTGCTTTAGTTATACCCATTCAAGCTAATCACTCAAGCAAATAACCAATAAACAACAACGCTCAAACAAGGTCACATATTTATTTTTTTTTGGTCGGCCAAACAAGGTCACATATTTTGATGGTTAAACCATCTGTCAAACAAGACAATCTAATATATGATTTTCTGATTTGTAATTGTTTTTTGAATAAAGTACCAGGAATTTATTATTCATTAAGTCATATTTTTTGGACTTTTATTCATTAAGTCATATTGATAAATTTATCAGTCTTTCTTATTTGTATTAATAAATTTACAATGATAAATTTGTCAATAAAACATATAAATAAATAAGTCCAGTTAATAGGTTTGATTGGTAAGTATTCTTTTTTTTTTTTCTTCTTCTATATAGAGATAATACTTAATTTGAATTTAACGCTCTCAAACTCAATTTTTTTTTATCTAATCAAGTCTATTTGTAAATTGATATTATGACTTTAAAATTATCTAAATACATTTTAATAATACTATATATTGTGGTACATCTTATTCTCAGTTAACAGTAGCGCGACTCCCCCGCGCGGAGCGCGTGGAAGTCCAACTAGTCATCTTAAAGAATTCAAACATATATATACGGATTCAAAAAACCAATCCAAACCTATCGGATTGGACTGGACTGGATCGGATTACGGATTTCACGGATTCCTTGCTCAGCCCTACCAACTATGACGTTTTATGCACCACTTTTCTCAGTTCATCATAATGGCTCTAAATTAATAAATTATAATATATTAATAGTACAGCATCTTATCGAAGACATGAAGAGTTCATCTATGAAATCTTAAGGCCTATTTTGAGAATCGAGTTTCAATTTTTAACTTATTTCTTTTTTTCATAAAAAAAATTAAAAAAAAATTTTAATCATCTTTTTAAAATATTCTTAAATCTTGAACCAAATTAGATTTTAAGCATACACAAAATAAAATTGTCACTACACTACAATTCTCAATAAACTAGATGAGTCTAATTTAACAAAATAAACTCAATGATTATTATAACATCGCCAACGGAGTCCGGAGGATTTATCCCTGTAGGTTTCGAGTCAACTTGAGAACTGATGCACGCAAACCGTGATAGTAGGCCAAAAAAATTAACTGATGGTGTATAAGGGGAAGTAATTGAAAAATTATTAAGACTTTATTATATAATTATTTAAAATTAATTAAGATGCAATTTTAATATTTCAAAATTCAAAATTTTCAATCATTACAACGCCTTAGCCTTTTGTTTTTATAAAATTATCAAATAAGTTAGAGATTATATATGAATTATTAAATATTTATATTATTGTGGGATTCACATATGATATAATAAATGTAAGAGAATTCTATTATACATATCTTCGTACCATTTGCACTCTTAGTTACACCCTTTTATTTTTTAATTATGACCAAATTTCTTCTTTAATTATGACATTATTTTGAGATATTTGGTTATGATTTTTTTGTGTTTGGTTATTTATTTATTTATTTATTTTTAATTATGACTCAGAACATATGAAATTATATCATTTTCTTCTATAGTCATAAGGTGTATATGGTACACACTCCTATAATGTAAATATTTAATAATTCATTTAAATTCTTCTAGTATTACTTGTAAAATTACCCTTTTATCATAATTCACAATCTACACCTTATTTGGTTCTAATTTTTTGAATTTAATTTTTTAAAAATTGAGTTTTTTATTTTTCATATTTTTTGTTTTTAGTGAATTTCTTTAATATTTCAAGCCATTTTTTTCTTTTTTAGATGCATCTAACATAGATATACCTAAAAAATAAAATACTTGTAATTTTTTTAAAAAAAAATCAATAAGTACACAAAAATACGAAAATATACTGAATTTTCATTTTTTTTTTATATTTTTAGTATTTAGTGATTGCTCTATAAAAAAAAATCATGAATATTATATTTTTTAATTATATTTATATTAAGTGTATCTAAAAAATAAAAAAAATTTACTTAAAATATTAAAAAAATCACTAAAAATAAAATTTAAAAAAAAACAAAAAATTAAAAATTAAAAATTTAATTTTTAATTTTTAATTTTTTTTTTTTTGTTTTGAACATGAAAAAAAAGAATGCTCTGTGGTGTCGTTACTACAACCATAGATCTTGACTCTAAGATAACCTATTGCGGGTCATATTTAATCTAATACATAAAATAAAAAATAATCCACACGTCATATAAAAATTATAACTTATTACCAATCATATTTAACCTAATTCATACGAAGTGATATACCGTTGAGACACGAAAAGAATTCAACCACACACTACAGAAGAATTCAAAGTCAATCAATCAGAGTATAATGCAAAATCTCAAAGAGAGTGAGTCAGTCAAATTAAACCAAACAGATATTCTTCGGTGGCCAAATGGAATTTGAAATTGAAACCAGCGAGGAAAAAGGAAATTTCAACAAACGACGTCACTCTTTCTAAAAATTAAACCAAACAGATATTCTTCGGTGGCCAAATGGAATTTGAAATTGAAACCAGCGAGGAAAAAGGAAATTTCAACAAACGACGTCACTCTTTCTAAAAACGGCGTCGGTTTTTTTGGTCAGTTAAGAAAAATGCTTGGGAGCACTAATTAGTGCTCCCACTAATTAGGTGGCAGTGGTCCCGCTATTAATGATGTGATGTTTTGGTCTTGGAATTGTATTTTTTTTTTTTTTTTTACTTTTTTAATGCATTAGTGCTATTAGTGGTGATGTTTTTAGTGGAATGAATCATTGTTGGTCAGTTAAAACAAGTACATGATCATGCTTCGATGACTGACGGTTGAAGCAAACCAGCCAAACACCTCTCTCTCTTCTCACAGAATAACCGCCGCAAGAAAGTACTCCACGTACACAAAATCCCAACACATTTTCTCTCCCCTCCCACCCACAGACTCTCTCTCTTCCCTCTGCCCAATAAGGATACCCCTCTCCTCCGCCACTTCCCATCCATGGCCAAGCGTCCCTGCACTGACCATCTCATCCTCAACCCTAGCCCTAGCCCTAGGGTTTCAAAATTCGATCACATGGACATCCTCTTAGAATCCTTTCTAGGTCTCTCTGATTCCTCTCCATCTCTAGGCCTCTCCTTCGATCGCCTTCTCCAATCTAGGGCTTCCGATTCCGACCAGAACGACCTCATTCATCGAGCCTTCAACTTAGGATCGAGCCTTCTCGAAGCCGCTAAAAGATCTTCCAGAAACCGCTCCTCCACTCATAACGCCCTCGTTTGGGCCCTTCCTCCTGATCTCACTATCAAAGTATGTATCTTTTTGTTTTTTATTCGTGTCCTGCATTTCTTAAAAATCGACATGTTGTGCGTATTGTGTTACGTGTCTGTGTCAATAACAAATACTATTAGGGCATTAATAACAAATTTGCTGTTGTTCAGAGAGACTTGATTGATGTGTATTTGATAAGATGCCAATTATAATGAAGATGGGTAATTTTATACTGGTCTGCAGGTTTTTTCGATGCTTGATACACAAAGTGTATGCCATGCTGCAGCCACATGTTCTTTCTTCCATAAATGTGCTATGGATCCTTTGTGCTATGCCAATATTGACTTGATGACAGTAGTTCCAAAGGTCAATAATGTGGTTGTTTCTACGATGATTCAACGAGCTGGGAATGTCCTTCAGTAAGGGTTTGTCTTTTCATTCGAGTATTTAGTTGTTGGTGTGTGACCTGTGTTACTATCTTTATCTTTCTTTTTAAGTTGTATTTCATTTTTTCAGTTGATAATGAATGTTGGTCAAGGAGGGGAAAACATTGCATGTTGTGAATCTATATGTGGCATCAAGTATGAACAGTGTAAATGTGCAATAATTAGGTCTAGATCATCGAAGGAGGTTTCGAGGGACAAGTGGCTACTAGATTATTAACGTCGTACATTTTTTGCTGTTGTGGTTGTTGTCCGTTCAGCAATATAGAGAAGACTAAATATTGGTTACTTGTATCGAAAACTGCTCACATATTGTTGAGAATGGAGTTTAGATGTGCAGTCATGAGATTTTATGAAACAAAATGGTGCGATTTGAGTGTTAGCAACACTGTAATTACAATGCTGAGGTTTGGAATGCCACAAGCCATGCCTAGTAATTTATCTTGCTCTGAGTATACATATAACATACAGACATACATACATCAATACAAACAAATGTAACATGTTTATATAATTACAGATAGATTTATGTAAATATAGTTCATTAGAGAGAGAGAGAGAGAGAGAGAGAGAGAGTATTTTTATCTCATGAAGATGAAGGTAGGATGTGTTGCTGCATGCGCATTTGAGCAGTCCATTAAAATAAGCAGGTACGATAGTTTCTGCTGTTTGGGGCTCTTAAAAAAACAAAAATAACAGCATTATCCGCTCATTTACTTCTCCTACAATTTATTGAGTTGGTATATCAATTTTTTTTTTTTTTTCATTGTTTAAATTCTTCAAATTCAATTATCAGCTCAATTTCCGGAAACTCTTTATGCACCATTATTTTTGTTTAATTACTTTTTTTTTGGGGTTTATTTGGCCATTTCATAGTGGTCTTGGGTACCACTTCTTTTGCTGCATGTAGAGATCATCTTCGCAATTTTAGCTTCTTGAACTTAACATAGAGGTACTGCTTGGCTTACCTTTTAAGCTATCATATTTGCTCAAATAGTTTGAGGGTTTCAACACATGTTAGTTCCAATATCTGTTATTAGAATCTTACCATTCACGATCATGCATAAATATATGTGAATATTTGGATGAATCTATTTTGAGAGATAATTGATTCGCAGGAGTCACAATTTGATTCATAGTTTACAATTCATCTTATTCTTGAAACTATCGGTTTGGATAGATTTCGATAAGGTTTACTTTTTTTTCTTGGAGACAATGTCATAATACAACTTCTAAATGTCTTTACTTCGAGAATAACCAATACTTATGCATGTTTCAATATCATTTTGGCTATGAGAGGGTTTAATAGGATCCAATCACATCCTCTTAGAACCAACAGGTTTTTAACAATTTTTTTTCTTTTGAAAATGTCAAAATACATCTTCAGAGGTTTTGAGCTAAGCATACACACACTGCAAATTGTTTTAGGTTTTAAAATAAAGGGTACCCACTTACTGTTTATTCATATTATACTCTATTTAGTGTTTCTAAGTCCATTTGTCGAGTGTCAAGAGAATATATTATGTATTTAAATGACTTTATGTTTAGCAGGATTTAGACCCACATCTCTTGCTATGAAGGCAATGTCTTTCTAATTAGACGTTGTAATTATGTCTTATAAGAACTATTGTAAAACATGTGTCAAATCAATTTATTTTATTTATTCATATATACGATTGTTTAACATCGTCTTTTACCTTACCATTCTTGATTTGATTCAATCCATGATTTGCAAAATTTGAATTTTGATTTGCAATGCAATTCTTGATTTGATAACTATTCCAGCTAAAAAATATGAAATAGTATAGCCTTACCCAGCCCAACATTAAGTGTATGAACCTATAAATATTAGTTCAAACCTAAAATGTAGAAAAAAATTTGAGGCAACCCAAGCTTAACCCGGGGGGCTGAAGAAGACCTTGGGCTACGGGCTGCTCTCAGCACAACTTGGGTTGGGCCTTTTACCAAACAAAAACAAAAAAAAAAAACTTGGGTTGGACCTAGGCAGGTGTTTAGCTCTACCTAACCCGCCTGATTTGCACCCTTACACGCTTAGTGGTAAGGGATCATATGTAGGCGTAGCAAGTGGCAACTAGGCTTGAACTAAATAGTGCTACTAACCATGATTCATTCCAATTTGGGGCTGGGACTCTGAACTCTCTCATGCTTGATCCCTGGACAGTCTTAACAAGGTTAGGGCTGTAAAAATTCCAGCTAGCCAATTAACTCTATTAGGCTAGGAATTGTTAACTTATGCTAAAGCTTTAGATGTAAATACACAAGTATTGAACAAACTTGCACTCAAGCCATTGCAAATTGGAGGCAAGATTACTTTTAAATTCTTGTGATTGATATGCTCCTCAGCCATTTCTTGTATATTACTTGTTGGAATGTGTCCCACATCACCTGGAGTTGTCCCATCTGTGCTAATTATAAGGTTTTAGTTTCCATCTCCTTAATACTTGGGTTTTAAGGCTGGTGTTTTCAATTTTACCTAGATACAAAGATGGCTTCTAAACTCTATGGCCCCGTTTGTTTTGGGAGATAGAATGGAGGGGATTGATACTGAGGGGATTGTTTGTGAGGTGAGGGGATTGATAGTGAGGGGATTAATAGTGAGGAATTGTTAAATTATTTTTATATAAAATAATAAAACAAATAAAAAATATAAAAATTAAACATTAATATTTAAAAAAAAAATTCCCAATATATAAAAAATAAAAAAATTTCTAATCCCCTCACTATTTTTCTAATATCATCTCTACCTCATCCTTACCAATCCCCCTTCCTCCTCCTTACTAGTCCCAAGGAATTACTAGTCCCCTCCCTATCTCTCAAAACAAACACCCCATTCTCAATCCCCTCCTCACTACTGTCAAACCCAATCCCCTCCCTATAACCCCAAACAAATGGAGCCTATATGTTGAAAGAGGATATAAAACTTGTAAATATTAATTTAGCCTTCCAATTGGCTATGGAAGTATGATTGAATATTCTATCAAAAATGAGATTTAACATCTATGATTTATGTAACCAGTTGCTGGTTTACCTCATTATGATTTTTATGTTGATTCTGTATTGAATTATATTCAGTACATAATTTTCTGCTAAGAAGTATGGACACGGACACGTGACACGACACGAGTACGACACGGACACGCTGACACGTTAATTTTCAAAAAATGTAGGACACGACACGTGAGGGACACGCATGAAATATGTAATTTTGTATATTTATTATATGTTATATATATGAATATATCATTAAAAAGATAATAAAAAATATAATATGATACTAATTCCTATAAATTTATATAGTTTTTGTTTTATTATTGTATCTTAAGTTGTTTTGTTCAAACTTATAATTAATTTCACATGTGTCTAATTGTTAGACACTTGTATTTAAGCGATGGACACGTATGTCCTTCAAGTGTCCAAAGAGTGTCCAAGTCTTTAAAAAAATTTTAAAAATAGGACACGTTTTGAAGAGTGTCGGACACGTGTCCTGAGAGTGTCCAAAGGGTATCGGTGTCCGACACGGATACGACACGAATACGTCACCTTCTTAGAAGTGTCTGTGCTTCTTAGATTTTCTGCCTATTTCTTCTAATGTATAGTTACTTCTGTTTTTTCTAAATGCAGGTCTCTAAAGCTTGGTATTGCGCCTGGACCAATTGTGTCACCTGGTTCTTCTCAACCTTTAGTATATAACATCAGGAATTCTACGGATGCATCAGGCTTTTCCTGGAATGATAAGAGATCGAGACAAGGAAAGGAGTCATCTATTCTCACAAGGTCCTGCTTGAGTTTTTTGAGTGGGGACAGTGGTGCTCCTGGGTATGGTTCTAAGTAGAATTTGGTGTATATATTTATTTATTTATTGGGTTGCCTGCCAATTTCCAGGGATAGTCTCGTCATCTCATGTGCACAATCATGCACACACTACAGACAGAGAGAGATTGTCTCTATTTATTTATTAATTTTGAATCTCTTTCTCTTCTTGTTAGGGCTCTTTTGAGGAGGTTACACCTTTACAATATTGAAAGAATGGATAACGCATCACTTTGTGCATCATTGTCAGCCTGCCCATCTCTTCTTGATCTTGAGATTGTTGGCCTGTAAGTTCTATTTAGTTGCTTTTCACTTTTCTTACATTAGTAGTTGGTTTAATCATGTTTTTCTACGGTTTCTAAACCCAGCATTATAATTTGTCATTGATCTGCCCCCAATATGAATAATTGTTTTCGTCTGCACATACCTGTGATGTCTTTGTTCCAGTGGAGTAACGCATGGATCAGTTGGTGTGATTATTTTTTAAAATTTATTACTTTGTTTCCTTCACAAACATCTAAATATCATGAATGGGTGATACAGGAAAAGAGATTCATGTTGAACTTTAATATCTTTGGTTGCATTACAGATTGTCAACATTAGTTGCTTTCTTCAATGTGAACTCTGATGCAAGAAAAAATCAGAATTTGGCAGAACAAAATTGCAAAGGATCAGGAAAGAAAGAGAAACTGATGAGGATAGAGTGTGCTTTAGGCAAGGAAGATGAATATTTTGTTTTATGAAAATACAAGTAGAATGATGGAACAATAGTATGGAAAAGTAAAGATATGGACTCGAAACTTTTTTCAAGTTTACAGCCACTAAAAGATATGGAAAGGAGCACTTTTATTTTTTTTGAAGTTTAAAATTTTTTTGTGCATTTCTAGAAAAGCTCAAGGAGAATTTATTTTTCGTATCTCTCAACAGAGCCTTGGCAGAAAAACAAGAAGCAAAATATAAAGATAGGAATGTTTATTAATTACAATGGTTATCGTAAAAAAAATAAAACTTAAAATTCATTGTAGTTATGTTGTTTAGTGACCAAACATTGACTGGATTTTTCCCCGTAATAGAACAAATAAATACAGTAAAGCAAGAAATTTCATTCAAATGAATTCTCTTGGCTTCTGTAGGAATAATTATAGAAATTCACTAGTAAAATTAATTTCTACAACTTTTTTGAAACCAATTTGAACTTCAATCAACATTGTTATGGGTTTTGTAGTTATTTCTGAATATATTGCTCATTCACAATGTTAGAGAAATAAAAATGAGTAAAAGTTGTGAAAGAGATGGTGAAATTATTTGAATAAATATGAAAAATAAATATAATATGAAAAACATGCTGTATTGAGGAATACATTTTTAGTGTGTTCCCTTTAAGGAAAATAATTCTATGTTCTTTTCAAGTGTATGTAGTATCAATGGAACTTGATTTTTTCCTTATATGTGGATGCTGTGTTTTGCTTGTTATATCTGGTCAACAGACTGCGTTGTGTTTCAGAGTTATGAAGAGCTTGTGAATGAGGAATGCTAGAGTAGAGACCCATAAATTAGAACCCACGATTCACCCAGAATGACATTTCAAGGGAGTTGGTTCTTACATGATTGAGTTTGTGACAAATCACGTAACCTGCCATGTCATTGTGGGTAAATTCAGGAAGGCTTTTTAGGGGTCTCAAATCTGTTTTCTACTTGTGAATTTGGGAAGTTTGAGATTGTTTTGTAGATTTGGCTGTACATTATGCAAAATGTTGCAGAAGAAAGGTTTCAATCCATGGCTTGAAGATTATTATTATGGACGGTGACTTTAAATATGGATTTCTTTCTTTCTGTCTTTTTTTCTTTACTATTCTTTTTCTTTTTTTTTTTTTTTTGGGGGGGGGCTTCTCAACCTTTAGTATATAATTTCAGTGGTTATTGAAAAGAGATGGGAAAGGGAATCACTAGAATGTAAGGGGTTTTTATAGTTCATATATACAAGTCTATAAAGCTCACTTGGCAAGCTGGGCTGAAAGGGGAAAAGGGAGAGAGGAGAAAGGGTGAAAAGAAGAATAAATGGTGGGACAACTACCAAGGGGGAGAGAGGGGGAAAAGTGACCAATCCATGGTTTGTTATTCATATTTTCCAACATCACTCACGTTAATTTTGCGCAACTGATATTGTCAAATAATTATTTTTTTAACAGGTTAATACAAATGTTTGGTTGGTTTTTTTCTTTTGGAGCAATACCTCCACTAAGGGGAAGGATAGAAGAAAGGAAAAAAGATTTTGTGTTTTGTCCGCATGTTGAGAGCGAGTTTGATACCTAAGAGCAGTAGAGTTCCCTTCAAAATACATGTCAAAGAAAAAAAAGAAATGAATGAAACTGTTGGTGTATTCTCTGAGCTCTCCAATGCTTACTCCAATATCAGCAGTCCTTTTCTTTGCAGTCATCCTTATTGGCTAGGTATTTAATTCTCTACTGGAAAATTATGGATCAATCCAAACCTCTTCCCTTGAGCTGTGGGAATCAAGAGAAACAAGCTAGATTTGGAAAGAGGGAGGGGGGGATCAGCCTCATCACCATAGAGAATGAAGTTCATTTTGTATGAACTGAAAGGCCTTCTGTGAACGTATAGAGTTTTCTTTGTAGGGTGGTATTGATGGCCTTGCCTAATGTTGCTTTGATAACATGACCAGCAGCTTTAAGCAAGATTCTAACTATGGAGTGACTTTCATAAGTTGGAAATATTTTATCTCCTGTGGATGTTTTCTTGCTTAGATGAACAGAGACGACAGAAATCTGTTGATGCATTGCAGGGCAGCTTGGTTTGTGATATGTGGAACTCGTTAGTTTTTTAGGGATTACTTGGTTGCTTGCTGTCAGGATGGGTGGAGTTTTCCTGTAGGGTGGTGGATTTGATTTGAAACATTGCAATAATTTATTGGTTTAGACATGTGCCCCTATGCAATTTTTGGCACAAGTTTTGCACTAAATTTGGAGGTTCTTTGACGGGAGTTGAGCTTCCCGTTGATGAGGTTAGGATGTCTAAATTTTCATTTTTATGGTAATTTACCAAGAGTGACTACAATAGATTTTAATGTAAGTTTATTTTCTCAATCTGGGGATTTATGGTCCTTGAATGAGTGTGTAGTACCGTTCTGTCTCTTTCTAGATACTACAATGCATGATAACAGTCTTGCCCCTTCGATAGTGTTTTATCTGTATATCTGTGTGTGCAATGTGTATAAATATATAAAAGCTATTCGTTGCTACTTCAGGTGATTTTGTTTTACCCAATTCTTTTTTTCTTTTTTTTTTGAGGGAGGGGGGGGAATCTGTTAGTTGTTTTTAAATTCTAGGGGTGGATAATTTGTTATTCTGACTTCTGAATGTCCTTTCTCTCTCACTCTCTCTTTGAATCAATGTATACACTATTTTATTTGGTTAATAAATTGATTGTACTTTAGGATAAAACATTTTTGCTTCTTGATTTGTCAATCAATCTTTCAATCATCAAACCAATGAAAGCAAGACAACCTGCCCCTCTATTTGGCTACTGTTATTACATAAAAAAAAAATGCAGTATTGTGACAATATTTAGCGCTGCCGAGTCTTGATTTCTATTATTGTTCTGCTTCCTGTTGGCAATTGGATGGGATGGAGAACTTGGTTTAGCATGCTGCAACCTGAGAGAAAGGATTGTAAGTTCTGAAATGGCAAAATAAGGCCTAAAAAGAACTGGTCAAAAATGGAGAAGGTTATGTTCATTTATATATTACCAACTAGAGAAAGCCAACTAACTTCAGGTGGGGAGATGTTTGCTTTCTTTTCTAAATTTTTTATGTGTATATGGTAGACATGTAATGAAAAGAATGTGTGTTTTAGTTAAACTTGCAAAGGAACTAGAATGGAATTGCATATTCTTAGGATTCATGTAGCCAGGCTTTAACGATGTTTTTGCATTTGAGGGAGGGCGGGAACTCAGGGTAGAGCATTTAACTTGGTGCTGCTTTGGTGAACAAGCATGTGACTGTAGGAGGCAGTAAGGTATTAGCTTTGAAAATTAACATTTGTCTTCTAAAAAATGTTTTTTTCTTGTGTGTTCTTATTTCTGTTTGTGTTCTGGCCCTCTTGTTTAGAAATAATCACATTTAACTACTTTTCCTGTGTGTTTTGTCCCTTTTACCTACTTGGTTAATTTTTTAAAGGAAGAAGTATTTCTTGCAACAGTTATGTTGAACTGAGGCAAACATTGGAATCAGTGAGCAAGCACTGTCACTCAATAGAGCGTTTGTTTTTTGAATCATCAAAAACAGGTCTGTTCTTGGTCTGCATATTAACTTGTATTCTCTTTTATCAAAATAAATAAATATTGTTCATGTATTCTCATGCTTGAATAATTGTCGCTTACTTTGTTCATCTTATTTCCAGGTAGAGATGACAGTTTGAAATTTCCAACCTGCAGTGATTTAGTGAACAATTGTCCTCATCTAACTTCCTTGGCGCTTAGAGGATTTAAGCTGCAAGACTACAAAGTCCGTGTACTTGTCAAGGTGTGTTTTTGGAGATGTGAAATATGTCATTCATAATGTCAGTGCTTAATTTTTAAATAAAACAATTAAATGTAAAATGTGTGGCAAAGCCATTCGTGATCTCCTAATCTATCTTTGCAAGATTCAACCACCATATATGCAAAATCTCTTGGTATGGGGACTATGTCATTCTGAACAAAAACCAATGAATGCCCAAGTTTGCTGGGATGGGAGTTCTGGATTGTTTGGTGTCATTCCAAAACCTGCTCCTCTAAATTTTAAGGATTATCTAGTTTTGTTTTTAGTTCAGAAATATTCAAGTGGGAGAGGTTGATTCAATAATGACTGGTTTACTTCCTGAGAATTCCTTCTGTGGGTATCTTTACTTGCCACATGTCCTAGACACAGCAGCGTGGGTGTGTGCCTCATATCATCAGAAAGACCTCCACATGTCAGCCATTGTGGGGGACATGTTCAGTCTCACTCAATGACCAAAAGGAACGTTAGATTGATAACACTCAGTGTGCGCACTTTGGTTTGGTCTTGTGTCCAAAGAGATGCACGAGGCGTTTTCTTAGTTTCTCACAGGAGCTAGGAGTCTAGTTGACTCCTCATGTCTCTTCGTCTAGGCCAAACTGGTAGGGCCTCGGTGTGTTGAATGACTTGGCACCCAGGACTCAGAGGTCTTGACACATGGTGGCTAGATGTGAATGTCCGTCATGATGCCTCACCCTGCTCAGTTCAAGTTGTCTTCAGCCTATCCGACTGAGAGAGAGAGAGAGACAAGCCTCTCCATAATTTGGCTTAGAACTTTCCAGAAGTTTGGTTCCTGTACCTCCAAGGCATGCTTTCCTGCCAAAAGGCAGCACATGGGGATCTAATCGCCCAGTGGCTTTCCTTAATAACCGCCTAGATTTCCGGACATGTCGTTGCATGCATATGCTCATATGCTCACATTCTATAAATAGAAAGTTGTACTTCTGCACCAGTATTAAACTTGAGCTCTCAATCTGTACCTCTCTCTCTCGTGCTGGGTTGTTTCATCTTTCACCCAGCCCCTCCATGGTCCCCGACTCTTCAGTGCTTCAGACATGTTTTGTCACCTCCGCATCAAAAATTCATAGTATGTTCCCCCCCCAAACATGCTCACGCGGACAACTTGATTGTTTATACATGGAATTGTCACTTGGAAAAACCAGCCTCTGGCAGGATAGAGTCAACACATTGCTGTAATAGAGAAACACATTGGCCCTGTTTGGTGGAGCCTTTTTTAAGTTAAAAGTTGATAATCAAAAAGCTTAAGCTAAAAACACCCCTTCCCCAACTTCCAAATAATCAGCTTATTTAAGCTATTTCTGTCTAATAAATTATAAGCAGAAGATGTACCAAACAATCTCGCACAAGCTCTCAAATTAAAATAAGCTATAATCACCACCTAAAAGCTGTAACAAACTGCCCAATTAGTGGAAGAGAAAGGCATTGAGTGGCTTAGTAGGCAAGTGACATGAAACCATTAACACGTTATGGATTTGATGTGAATTTATCCTATATAAATGTTTTAAGATCTGCCAAAAGGAGATCAGCCTAGTATACAAAACAAAAGTTGAAGATATGCTATGTGGGTGTCTATGAGTCATGCATGTGTGTGTGTGAGATGGGGGTTCTATATTATTTCTGATAACACATATTTATGTACAAGATCAGTTTACTGGAACGGTAAATCTAGAAACTGGTTTCAAATTGCTTATGCAGAACCATTCTGATTCAAAGCTGCTGTATCAATCTCTATGTAGGGTTTTCAGAAACTGAAATATGTTGACTTCTCAACATCCTACTCAATCTCTGGTGCATTTCTAAGGTGGGTGTGTTAATGATGGTTGGCTTTTATAGAATTTGGTATGCTTTACCCGTTTGAAAGATTTCCTGAGTTGTTCTTTCTTGGAACCTTTTGTTCTTTAGGAACCTTGGAGGCAGTGCAGGGGGGAACCTTTTGGAGGTTTTAATGTTACGCGACTGTATGCATCTCAAGCAAGTGAGGATTACAATCCCCCCCCCCCCTCTCAAATTTATAAACTGAGACAACCATTTTTATAAACCAAAAAATTTATCAAAAAGTTTTTATGACAGTTTTTTAAATTTTTATAAATATAAACTGAAAATTGAAAACGAAATGGTTACCAAATAGGCCCATCCATTTTTTCATCTTCTTGTCTCTCTGTCTCTCTCTATCTCACTCATCTCTTTTCTCTTTCTCTTTCTCTCTCTCTCTCACTCATCACTCTTTGTCTGTATGTCTGTGTCTTTCTCTTTCTCTATCTCTCTCATACTGTGCTCGTGTTACTCACTCTTTTCCTCTTTTTTTTCTCGATTTACCAATCTCCCTCTCGATTTATTAATCTTTTTTTTTTTGCCAATCGCTCATCTCTCATTTCTCTTAATCACTTATCGAAAGAGAAAAAAGTCAAAAAATAAAATGGGTCTCTTTCTCTCTCTTCTCTCTCTCTCTCTCATTCATCACTCTTCTCTCTGGCTCTCTCATCTCTCTCTACTCTCTATCTCTCTTGCTCATCTTTCTTCTCTCTTTCTCTCTCTCTCTCATCATTCTTCTTTCTAGCTCTCTTATGTCTCTTTGCTCTCTATCTCTCTTGCTCATCTCTCTTCTCTCTCTCTCTCTCTCTCTCTCTTTGTCTATCTCTCGCTCATCTTGTTTCTCTCTCTCACTCATTACTCTTCTCTTTGGCCCTCTCATCTCTCTTCGCTCCTTATCTCTTTTGCTCATCTTTCTTCTCTATCTCTCTCTCTCTCTATATATATATATATATCTTGTTCATATCTTTTTGCTGCTTTCTCTATCTCTCTGTCTCTCTGTCTATCTTTCGCTTATCTTGTTTCTCTCCTTCTCTCTCTCTTTCTCTCTCTCTCTCTCACTCAAGAGTCAGGTGGTGATTTGTGTTTGACTGCTGTATTTGTAAGATGCTGAAATTAAACCGACTACTTGTTGAAAATAATGAACCTTTTTATTATTTTTTATTATTAGGAGTTATATACATTTAGTTATGCTAGTTATGGAGGAATAATGGTATGCATTTAATGGTGGTAATGGTGTGTTAGTAGTATGTTAATGTGTTAGTGCTTACAAAGAATAGTAGAGTTAGTGGGTCTTAATGTGTGTGAGAGTTGCATGTTAGGTTCCTATATAAGTCATGCTTCTATGTAATATATAAGAATGTGGCCTCATTTGGGAACAGGTTAATTTAGTAACTTTTGGCTATTTGGCTAAAATATGAGCTAAAAAGAATTAGTATGTTTGGGATGATTTTTTGGTTTTTTATGAAAAGATGTGCAACAAGTAGAGAGAAAAGAGAATCTTTAATTTTTTGGTATGGGTTGTTGGTTTTTTGGCTAATTTAGTAACTTTTTGACTAAAATGAAGGGTTTTCAAACGAGGCCTGAGTATGGAGATAAGAATGAGTAGGAGAATGTAATGAAAATAATAAGAGTGAAATACAAGAGCAATATTATTCTTCTTCAGTTATCTTCCAAATTTGTGTGAATAGTCATTTTTATTTCTAACACTACTACATTTAGATTGAGAATTCACTACTTCATTTGGGGATTTTGAGGGTCGTGAGTTGATGGTTGTACAAAGTTGTTTTGCACCACCATTCATTACTTTGGTTACGCATTGTAAGAAGGTAATTCTTACTGGACCACAAACAGCAGCATAAGTGTGTGAATGATATCATTGTTTGGTTTCTTCTTTCGCATGTGTCTTTTTTTTTTTTAATTATTATTAATGATTCTATATTGCTCAATTTCAATTCTCATAGTAATCATTTTGAAGGAGTCCTTTTTCTTTATAACTGTAAATTATAATAAAAGAGACGTGCAACTCGTATACCAAAAAAAAAAAAAAAAATACTAGCTTTACATGCATTCAAAGGCCGTTACAAAATTCAAAAATTAATTCTCTAACCGTAATTGTTTAGTTGGACATAAAACAAGTTTATTATTATTATTATTTTTGATTGCTGAATCAACTGACTTATTTACTGAATTGGCATAATCATCTTCTGTTCTCTCTCTCTCTCTCTCTTTTTTTAATTTTAAAAATGATCAAATTAGTTTAGTTGACCGGACATGGAAAACCGTTAAATTTAATAGGAAAGGCTAGCAGTGGACAAAAAGTACCCAAATGTCTATCAAATGTTTAGTATTTTTGAAAAAAAGGAAAAAAATTAATTAATAACCTAATCTCATTGCATAGCTAGTTATGCCCACAAGAAATAAATAAATAAAATGGTATAGTAGATTATTCTCCTGCATTCCCCAGAACACTTTCATTGAAGCCAAAAAAAACAAAATAATACAAAGAGATCCAAGATTCAGCAAAATAACTTTCAATTAGAAGAACCCCACTTGCGTTAGCTTTTTGCTCCTTCCCCCCATCCATTGTTAGCCTCACCAACCAACAAAAAATTTGATTTCAGTTCAATAACCCCACAAGCATACCAACTTGTACAATTTCTTCACCATTTGAGATATTAGACTCAACCATTTTCCCATTTGAGATATTAGAAATGTTCTAAGGTTTACAACCTAAAATCTGAATTTAAATAAGATGCAATGAAGCTAGTTGCGGATCCGAAATTTTGACTGAGGGAAGGTAACGTTGAGTTGAATTCTTATCGAGATTTATCAAAATTCAATTGAACCCGATTTTCATTTGGTGGTGAGACAACTGAAAATCAACATGCCAAAGTCATATTAGAGTTGTGCTCGAGTTAGTCAATCAAAATTTTTTTCTTTTGGTTTTTATTATTAATCCAATTTTTATTTTAATTTGTAAATATGGTGATATCATTATTTAAAATATGATCACATAGTACCATAAAAAGTAGAACGGATTGATATCAAGATGCACACAAAAAATAGAGATTAAGGAGGTAGAGAAAGAAATAATTTAAAATTTATAAGAGAAGAATCTAGCAAAACTCAACATTTAAAGTGACAAATTACATGGGTTTTGCTGAAAAGAAAGGAAAAAATAGAGGTACAAGAATTTAAGCGGCATACTTAAAAACTTCAAGGGAATGAATTGAAAAATATTGTTTAATCAGAGATAAAAAGTAATCTAAAAAAATTAAGAAGGGGCACATGCTGTCCTGAACTTAATGTGGCTCTGCCACTAAAGCTTCATGCTCCAGAAGAACATACAGAAAATACTGAATCTCATAGTCAAGACTTTAATTCTTTGTTGTAAGATTCTAAATTTTCATTTCTATCAAATCTTTGAATCATTAATTGAAAACAAAACAAGCACAAGTCAGATTATTTTCAAGATACTCTATATTAGCAAACAAAAGATGCACAAAATGTAATTATGCAAATCAACAAGTGTTGTGTAGTGTTCCAAAAATTGAATAGAACTAGATTCCAAATCACAGAGCAAAAACTCCAGAGAAAAAAATAAAATTAAAAACTATAACATATCGGTGGTGCTATATGCATCAATTAGTGTACACACTAATAGATCAACTAGTGTTGTGATATTATCATTGACCACATTTATTATACAAGTTACAAATACCCAAAACTATACAAATGATGTCACATCATCTATTAATACACTAGTATATATATTAATTGGTATATATAAATATTATTTATAACATAAGCATGCCCTTTGGCTAGTTCCCAAAAAAAAAAAAAAAACATGCCCTTTGGCAAGAGTGTCGTGCACTGAGTTTTTATGTGGTCCATGTCTCGACATTGAACTCGAACACTAACCCAAAAAAAAAAATTCACTCGGTCAAAGTTTAGTTAGCAACAAACAAAAAACAGATGCATAGTACAAATGTTTCTACCTTTTGTTTTTTGAAAACACTTTTCTCTAGAGTTAAAACACTGTTAAACTTGAAATTACAAGGATGAGAGGGGAAGATCTTACTGAGGTGCTTGTCACGGAGTGGTGTATGTGTCGGTAACCATGGAACCTTCACAAGTATGCTAAATTAGGCATGTAAAAACACAATTGAGATCAACAAAAAAAAAAAAAAAAAATTGTAAATTCTAATTTTCCAAGCTAATTACAAGAAAATTAGAGGGGGGGAAAAACCAATGGATCCAATATGAAATTGCGTCACATTCATCCATCCACTATCACACTCAAAAGAAGAATACACATCTATTCATTCATTCTTCCAAGCACACAACATGAGTGAGAAGCCAAGACCTTGTAATTGAGTCTCTCCAAATTTCTCTGAACATGACCAACTAGACAATGATGGATCAGACAAAGATTGGCTGCTCCAAAACTTCTCACAACAGGTTTGGAACATGAAAACCGCGTCGCCAACCAAGTTACCAAACAGCCAATTATGCACATCCCAGAACACCTCAACCGGAATTCCATCCACTAGAATGGTATGGTTTCCACGAAACTTCCACCTCAGTCGTTTTACCTGCATCACCGCCTTCCCGTCTACACGGATCACGAGGCTCGGATCATTATTAGTACCAGTACCAGTACCCGTACCACCACTAGCAGCGTCACATTCAATTATGACATCATGAATTTTTCCCTTATCGAAAAATTGTGCCTTGGCACCATACAATTTCTTCCCAAAAATGTTCTCTCTCTTAGCAATAAAAATAGATTTGGAATTTTTAGAAATTGGGTTTGGATTTGCTTCAATCCTCTTATAAGCTTCCTTTCTTAAATCTCCCAAAAGCAGAGCAATTTCTCTGTTGCAAACAATGGCTAAATAGAAACCCTCGATTGGTTCTGGGCCAGAACCAAATTTAGCAGAAGACAAGTCCCAATAAATGTCGATTAAACTCGAATCGATTTCCAAATTCTTGGACCCTTTTCTTTTGGAGAACAACCAGGGTTTTAGATCGACTTTGCAGAGAGATTGATTGGATGAATCGTCGATTCCAATTGTGAGGCCTTGACCCATCAAGTTCTTGGTCCATGTTACTGTAATTAAGCATGAAATGCCACTGAATCGGCATTGGTACACACATGAAACTAGGTTCTGGAAAGTTCTGGATGAGTAGGGTGATGAAGAGTCTGCAATTTGAACTCCATTTTCGCCGAAACAAGAAGGGAAGTCTCTCATGGTAATAATTAATGGGTTTTGAGAGATTTACATGAAATGGGTTTGTGTTTTTTAATGTTTGTGAAACTGGAACTGAAACTGAAACTGAAACAGAAACAGAGACAGAGAGGAGAGAGAGAGAAAACAGAGAGAGAGAGAGAGAGAGAACGGTCTGAAAACGTCAACAGGGCTTGGCGCTTGATTATATAACGTTATACAAAGATAAATGTCAAAAGTGTCCATATTCATTTTCCTAATTCAATTTTTGAAAAAATAAATAATAATAAATACACTTTATTTTCTTTTTCAATTCTTTTATTTTCATTTCATTAATTAATATTTAGTGCTTGTTTGGAAAAAGTATATTTTTTTTTTACATATATACACTTATTTGAGTCACATCAATCAACATCTATCAATCTCTCTTTTCTATTTTTTTATTCACTTTTTTTACTTTTCTACACATCATTTTATAAAAAGTCAAAAAGTACACTTATTTAGAACATCTCAAATCACCTCGTAAACATGAAAAATATTATGATTAGTGACGGGTGAGATTCAAGATTTGATACTGGGTGATAAAAAACAGAATTACATGACATTTGATAATTTATGAGAATATTGTCACATAGTGTCTTAAGACTACCTAATAATTTTTCTGTATCTAACATCATTTTGACACATAATCAAAAATCACTTTAATAGTAATCAAAATCACCACTTTAATCATAATAAACCTCATTTTAAGACAATCAAATGACAGAGGAGATGTAATCAATTTTAAGATCATCAAATGACATAGGAGATGTAATCAATGTTAATGTGATAATGTACTAGCTTCACTATAACAATTGTCCATAACCCAAAGAGTAATGGTTGGAATCTCAAATAATTTATTAAATATTTTACCAAATCTTTGACATAGGTGTAAGACCCACACATATGTAGATTTGTGTAAATTTCACATCATATGAGAGATTTGATAAAATATTTGGTATATTATTTGAGATTCATAGCATTTTCCTAACCCAAATACTATAATATTACAAGTGTCCATTTGGACTACAACTTATATATGGTAGAGTAACCTAACATTTTTAGTTGGGGAGTGAAATTGGCCTCTTGTAATAATCTAACCTATTAATATTTTCCCCATGTAAAGTAAATAATAATAAAAATAAAATAATGAAGAATTCAAAAAAAATTATGAGAAATTTTATTGAGAATTGAATATGCTGTGAAAATCTTTCTCTATTTATAAAAGAAGATTTCTTAAAAAGAAAATATACAAATAAACTCATGTGGAATTCAATTAAATTGATTGGAGGGGGAGTTCAAATTTTGATTTTCTTCCAAAATCAAATCTAGTGCATTCATTTAAATTGTTTCAAGAAGTCTTAAAAATTTAGATTTGTGTTTATATAACAAAAGCTCCTCCTTATACTTGTATTTACATCATAAAACCTCCTGCTTATATTTATCTACTTCTATTTATACTCATTTAAAAAAAATTAAAAATAAGTTAACCTAGTATAACGTTTCTTGTCTTTTTACACCAATCTTTGAACCACTAACCCATAGCCACCATCACCTCTGACCACTACAACTATTACCTTCTCCACCCAAAAGCGCAGGCCTTAGGTATGGGTCCGTCTTAGGCATAGCTCCACCAAGTTATGGTTCAAGATCTCTCAAAATATATTTAAAAAATAAGTCTATCTTATTATAATTTAGTGTAATATATTAGGTATATTTTGAATTTAAAAAAAAAATTAAAGAAGATTTAAACTAATTTAAAATAAATTAACTCATTAAAATATTAAAAAACCTATTCAAAATTAAAAGGGCTCATTTTTTCTCCATATCTAATTGCCAACCCTAACTCTTAATTCAATTTTTCCAAAAATTTGAGAATTCCGAGCAACATCACAAGTAGGTTTTTGTTTTTTTCCCTTATTTAATTAATTAAATATTTATCTTGTCTTTTGCTCAATTGTTATTATAATATTGATATTTATTCAAATCTGCATCATCAAAAAGAATTAATCTTTTGCTACCTATACTATTATAACATTAGTTATTATATTGTAATATTAAATATTTTTTTGTAATTTTGATACAAATATTTTGTACTTTACCTTCAAAAAAAAAAGCGTTGAATGAAAAAATATATATATATGTGAAAGACTCCAAATGATCTAATAATATTTATTAGTTGATTATCGACTATGAATCTCGAAAATCTTTGGGTCGGGCCTGCCACACATGGCCATCACCTTCGACCACTGTAACACCCGTCATTTTTTTTCCGCCACCACCTACAACACCTTTCTCTCCCCTCCCAACTCATTCAATCTCCATCGTTACCGCTTTTTTTTCCTCTTCTTCTTTTTATTCTATTGTTGTAATTGCAAACGATACCTTAGATTTGAGAGAGAGAAATAAAGAGAGGGAAGAGGGAAAAGAGAAGAAAAGAGGAAGTGGCAGAGGGTGTTGGGGTTTGGGAGGAACTGAGGAACGGCAAGAAGAAGAGGGGATGGGTTGCATGCAATTAGCGAGGAAGGGCTAGGCGGTGTTGGGTTGGAGAAGAAAGAGATTGGATCTGAGGGAGGGAGGGAATGGAGAAGGGGTGACAGTGAATGGTGGAGGGGGTAGGGAAGAAGTTGTGGCCCATGGAGGTGGTAAGGAAGAAGATGGGTGGATTGACAATGTTGGGCTTGTATTGTTAGCATTTTAGGTAATTTTATCTATAAATTGTAAATAAAAAAAAATGTAATGAAATATTTGTGTAGTGTAAATAGAAGCACAGTACACACATTCATAATGTGGATATTTTGCTCAGACCTAATGCAAAGGCACATGAACCCTAAAATATATACTATATTTTTTCTTTTGTTTTTTGGGTTACAACAAAAAGTAGCCTAGAAATGTCTTAACCTAAAAGAAGGGGAAGAAGTTACCTCTACAATGAGGGTGGGTTGCTAAGTCCCTATCTACACCCTGGCTCCTCAAAATACAAAGTTGTTAGTTTGTTTGTGTGCTACTATTTATGAGCAAGGATCCTTTAGAGTTTTTTTTTCTTAAACTTTTTTAGAGTGGTGCATTGTGTGGTTGAGATTTAATGACAAGTCATATCAATTTTTCAGCATTAAATCTCAACCACACAATACACCACTTTAAGAAACTTTAAGAAAAAAACACTCTAGAGGATCCTTAGTGACTATTTATTCCCTTATAATTAGTGTACTAATTTCTATGTTAATTTTCAATTTTTTTTATTTTTATTTTGTAAGATAAGGGAAATGTTATTAGTTGATGTTATCATATATGTAAAAAAGGGTATTAAAATATGTAAGAAAATATATAAAAGTGTGTGAGAATATGTAAAGTATGTATCAAAATTCAAACTATTTTGATAGTATTTAATTTTTAAGGAATGTCTAATAAGTGATCATTAGCTGGATCCTACATAGAAATTGATATCTATGTAAGGTCCTTTGATCTCTTGACTTAGGTTAAATTAGTAAGAGAAGTGATTAAGACCTCCTCCAATCATCACCCCCACCCCCCCCACACACGTGGGGGCTAATGATTGGAAGAGAAAAAAGAAAAAAAAACTAGCCAATCACAGCCAGAGAGAGTCGTGGGGGTGCCACCCTGTGGGGTCCAAATCATTTTTGAATTGATAATTGGAACATGTTTTTGTTTTGAATTTTTTTTTTTTATTGTTTTTAGTAATTTTTTTATTATTTTAATCATTTTTTTATACTTTTTGCATCTAAAAAGTATTTTAATTTTTTTTACTAAATATGAAAAAACTTCACTAAAAACAATTGAAAACCAATCTAAATCTTTTTTTGAATAATATTTATTCGTTTTCTTCTTTTTTTTCTAATCCACCACCCCCCCCCCCCCCCCCCCCCCAAAAAAGAAAAAAAGAAAGAAAAATTCATTTATATTATTTCAATTTTTTTTTTCTGTCTGCAAATCAAAGATTTAAACATAGAATTTGAAAAAAACAAAAACTGTGAAGGAATCAGAGGGTGAACCGTTCTTAACTTCTTTTTTCTTTTCTTTTTTTTGTAGTTTTCTCTGGGACCTCTCATTATTTTGGAAAATAAAAGAGCATCATTTATATGCTAATTTTTCAATATAATATTTTATTTATTTAGAACTTGTTTAGGAATTGACTATTTTAATATTTTTTATAAAAAAAAAATATATATATATACATATATATAATAAAAAATAATAATTTGATAACTTATAATAATTTTTTAACTTTTTAACTAAAAAATTATATTCCAAAACAAAGCCTAATTTGTCTTCATACGAGGGAGGGTATATGGTTTTCTTTTCCTTTTATAGTTTGATCTGAAAAGAAATTTATTTGTTTGCTTATTGGATATTTATTTATTTATTGGTAGTTGCCAAAATATATATTTTTTGGATGGGGGACCAAAATTTGGTCACTCAATTGGAGTGAGGCTCTACTTTGGATTGACAGATATGTGTTGGATGACTTTGCAGCTCCCACTGGCAAGCCCATTTGACCATCATCCTCTATTGACTATTATTAATTCTTGTTATTTCCATACCCCCCCCATACCATGCTTAGGTCAGCCGAGCCCATTCTAGTAACATTTTGTATGCGATGCATTATTTAGTATATGTAAGATATGTACATTAAATAATTGAGAAAATTATATTTTACCCCCTTCAACTATTGTTTTTAACTTATTGCACATCTTCTATATGATAGTATTAAATACAAATATATATAAAATGTCCCCAATAAAAATATTAGACATATCTCTTAAAGAGTTCATATAATATAGCACAAATGTGTGAAACAATAATTGAACCAAGTCATTGGGAAATGTTTACTATTCTAAGAATTGTAATGCTTTACAATCACACACAACTTGTATGAACTCTTCTTATAATTATAACATCACTAGCTTTGTTTTCCATGCTATAGTTGATCACTTGAGCAAAATAATAATGTAAGACACCCTTAAATCTCAAGCATACATCACTTGAGGATTTTTTTTTATTTTTTTTTTAATTTTTTTTAACATGGGTGTACAAGGCTTCATTCTTACTGTCGTATAAATATTAAGTAATTATCTAGATATAAACCGTAAGGGGGCTTAGCCTAAAGGAATTTTTTTTTCCAA